AAGGAAAAAAAAAAAAACAGTAAAAAGAAAAATTGGCTTCATCCTGGCTCAAACCAGGACAATGGGGCATCCATAGCTTCCCTGGGCAACCTATTCCAGTGCCTTCCTACCCTCATGGTGAAGAATTTCCTCCTGATGTCTACCCTAAGTCTCCCCTCTTCCAGTTTAAAACCATCAACCCTTGTCCTGTCACTGCCCTCTCTGGTGAAAAGCCCCTCCCCAGCTTTCCTGGAGCCCCTTCAGGCACTGCAAGGTGCTCTAAGGTCTCCCTGGAGCCTTCTCTTCTCCAGGCTGAACAGCCCCAACTCTCCCAGCCTGTCTCAAGAGCAGAGCTGCTCCAGCCCTTGGATCATCTTTGGTGCCCTTCTCTAGACCCTCTCCAACAGCTCCATGTCCCTCTTGCGCTGAGGGCTCCAGAGCTGGACACAGCACTGCTGATTGTCAGAATGCTGATCACAATGGTATTAAAAGATTCCATTTTTCTAACAGCAAAAAATCCAAGAGGTCTGAAAGTATTTTAAAATTGTACCTCAGAACACATGCAAAAATTCCATATATGCCGAATGTACCACAACATGTCCGGATGTCTGGAAAACCAGTATTCCTCACCACTCAGTATTAGCCTGATAATGAAATTTAAGTGGTATTGATGTAGGACAAATAGCAACACTTAGCTGAGGTGCCAGGTTCAGTCTGGAGACAGAAGATGACAACAAAACTAAATCACATGCTAAAAATCTTACCCAAACAACAGATATTCAATAAAAATTCTTCCACCCTCCTTCCTACAGGTTCATTATGCATTTTTTAGAAAGAAGGAATGCCATAGAATGACCCCTTAAGTGACACAGCTCTAAAGAAACAGCAGATAAATCCTGACAAAAGTAAATATAAAGCATCTGAAATTATTCTGGCAAACACCTCACGCTGCACACAGTAGGTGTAATGTTCATGGTTGTCCTAAGGTTGTGAACAGACTTGGGGTTTGCTAGGGAGGGGATAAATGAACTCTTAAAACTAAATTAAGATTAAGCACATCCCCAATAACAAATCAAGAACTCTAGCCCAAATTCCTAAACAGTAAAGAAAACGAAGACACAGACAAAAAATTCTCATCTTCTGAACTGCTACAGGACATGAAGGGTAAAAAAATTCCACATTCTAGTTCAATCCTGTGAACAAACATCTACAGCTCTGGTGACAGAAAAAAAATGAACCTTCTCATGACAGGCAGCACCTCTACAGAGAATACATTTCTAGAAAACTGTGTAGCTTAGTAAGGGTTTTTAAGGGCAAAACAATATGTGAAGGATAGAGCAAAGAAACAGTTCACTTCAGCAAGCACAGGGGAAAAGGACAGGACCAGCTCCTCTACCCTGCAATTACATGTACATGGCCTAACAAACAAAAATCCCAACAAAGCAACCCTAAATACAGCTTGACTAAAATTAAACCTGTTGCCTTGTCTAACAGCAATAAAATGCAGTGGCTCAGTATTGCCTTTTAAAAGTCTTGGGCATTTATTTGGACCTATCATCTCTAAACCTCAGAAGAAGTGTATTACATCAAGGCTACTGAAAAATACTCTCTTGTCCCTCAGCCATCAAATGACACAGGTGCAGATTGGAGGCCACAACAGCAAAAGGACTAATATTGCTCAGAGTCACAGGGTATTTCAAGGCATTGATTCCATTATTTATGCTGGTTTTTGCTGCAGACACACTGGACAGAAGGCAGCATGAGGATGCTCCCTTCCACCATATTCAGCCCAGAAGGCCAATTGTGTCCTGGGTTGCATCAAAAGAAGAGAGGCCAGCAGGGTCAGGGAAGGGATTCTGCCCCTCTGCTCTGGTGAGACCTCACCTGGAGTGCTGTGTCCAGCTCTGGAGCCCTCAGCACAAGAGGGACATGGAGCTGTTGAAGAGGGTCTAGAGAAGGGTACCAAAGATGATCAAAGGGCTGGAGCAGCTCTGCTCTGGAGACAGGCTGGGAGAGTTGGGGCTGTTCAGCCTGGAGAAGAGAAGGCTCCAGGGAGACCTTAGAGCAGCTTCCAGTGCCTGAAGGGGCTCCAGGAAAGCTGGGGAGGGGCTTTTCACCAGAGAGGGCAGTGACAGGACAAGGGTTGATGGTTTTAAACTGGAAGAGGGGAGACTTAGGGTAGACATCAGGAGGAAATTCTTCACCATGAGGGTAGGAAGGCACTGGAATAGGTTGCCCAAGGAAGCTGTGGATGCCCCATCCCTGGAGGTGTTCAAGGCCAGGTTGGATGAGGCTTGTGCAGCCTGGGCTGGTGGGAGGTGTCCCTGCTCATAGCAGGGAGGTTGGATCCTGATGATCTTGAAGTTCCCTTCCAACCTTCACCATTCTATGATTCCATGACCAGCTAAGCACAATTCTATGATTCTACTACACATAGTATTTATGGGAGCTGCCCCCTTTGGAGTGCACAGCTATTCCAGTTTGAGCATCTGAAGCCAGCACTGCAGAGCAACAAACTTCAGGAAAACCAGAAGGATCTCACGGTCCTTCAGAACAAGCTCAATGTGCTCACACAAATGCCTAAATAGGGATCTTAGGGGCCCAGTTCAGACATCCAGCTTTGAAAAATGCAGCAGACACATCCCTGCTTTGTGCTTTCATGGAAAACTTACAACCAGGGAGGAAAACCAAGAAAAGGCCCCTCACTCAAGGCTGGTTATTACACATATTACTTCTGTGCAGGTGGTGAACTTATTATCATGCCTGTTACACAGATGGTAACGCTGCAACTGCTACAAAAACACCAAGCAAGGTGATAAGCAAGTAGGGTTTGTTTGGGTAAGAAAAGTACTTTTCTGAAG